CTTCTCTACCTCTGTTTAAAACATGCCTGTAGACACAAGTGGGAGGCTGAGTTCTGTACTGTAAAAAGAAATTACTGAAATGGACTTCTTCACATAGCAGTAAATCAGCAATGTACTTTTCTGAGAATATTCTAATTAACTGTCTCTGCAAGTAGAATTAAAAGGTGTACTTATGTCTGGAGATTGGAATGATCTTTCTGTATTGCATTGGAGATTTGTTATTTTCTGTTGCTTATCTTGACTAGCTACTGTTGAATTAATAAACTTTAGTTTTATTTTGTGTTGGTGACTTCTTGCCTTATTTTCTTGGTTATCTGAATAAACCTCCCTCAGATATAACAGTTTATTTGGTTAGATGGCAGTAAGTAAAGGCTTTTTTTCTTGATGGAGAAGAGGTAATAGATTTTAGTGTTCAGAAAATCGTCGTTTGCCCTTATTTTTCTCCATTCATATTCTGTCAGTCTTAAGTAACTGAAAATGCCTTTGCAGCTAAGTGGCCATAGGGAGGGCTTCTTGTTTCTGTCAAACACATTTTAATTTTTCAGCATTTAGATGAAGTTTTATTTTGCAAGCTTTGTTTCATGTACCACTTTGAACATTGTGGATTAGAGTATTTCAGAAAAATATAATTGTTATTATAAAAAAATATTAAAAAATCATGTGCTGCAACTAAAAACTAAAAGAAGAGCCCTGCTGTATCCCAGCCTGAACCCCTGGTCATTAGGAACTCAGACTGTTGAGATGTTCAGGTTTCGTTCCTGGTTCAGTAATGAACATGTTTTTACTGGAGCAGTGACGTAATGCATGTCCCATTTTCAGCTTCCAAAATAGGACTGATACTCTTATGCCTGGTTTTTCCTTTCTCTGAATTGCAGGCAACATTCTCTTTCAAAGTAATTTTTGATTCTTGGATATTTATTGTTTTACAAAACACCCTACCTACAGAAATGATAAAGCTGGTTTATAAAATCGGACAACAGACTGTTTAGTAAAACCTAGGAATGCTTTCTTGCAGTACTATCTTTTAGTTTTAAAAAGACTGTCTGTAAGGTTGGATTTGTATAGAGTTGCTTACTCTTATTTGCAAACTTTATTCCCAGCAAGTTGTATTTTTTTTTTGTAAAGGAATATTTAAAATTCTTAAGCGTAGAATTCAGAAATAAGGTAAAAATATTTTTAGGTGTTTTGTTTTAGAGTGACCACAGTGTTTTCTTAAGTACAGTGCCTCCTATGTGCTTACCTAAATATGATTTGTTACCTAAAAATCAGCCTTTCTAAATTCACTTTTCTGAAACTCCAAGATAAGATGATGCAGTAGATTTTTCTCTTGGGTTTGTTTCCCAGATGCTTTAATGTCTTCAGAAAGTGCATAATACTTTTGTACTCATGAGATACAGTAGTAGGTAGTGGCTTGAAATAAATACAACGTGGCAATGTTTTCTCGAAGTTAATTTTAAAAATTCAAATTACTGGTGAGCATGCTTCATTTTTCCACAGGATGTTTATGTATCTCTTCTTGGGGAACTGAGTGAATCTTCAGTTTAATGTGGTAGATGTTAATAATATTCAGGTCTTTGGTAGTTGCAGGTATATGTTGCTGTTGAATTTGGAGGAAAGGTTGAGTTGCAATTGTTGGTAGCCTCTATTTGATGGAGCTGCTGACATGACATTCTCAAATAGTCTACACAATTGTAGACTATTGCTAACTTTAATGTGGTCATCATCACTTCTGTAAACTTAATATATCACAATTCCCCCAATGACAATGAGCAGTGTAATTTTCTCTGGGTCTTTTCTGGAAAATCTTGCATTGGACTTTGTTTATCTGAAGTAATTAACTTATGAATTGAAAGCTTGTTTCTGCTTGCAGTGATGAGTAAATGTGTTGTTGGTAGTCACTGATCATGTGAGGAGCTAATATTTGTACAGCAGTTGTAGAATTTGTTTAATGTTTTCTTGTTTTGTTGAATTTTGTGTACTAGAAGTTAAACCCCAAACTTGTGTCACAGAGATACTGTATTCTTATGTCATGTTTCATATAGGTAGAAAGAAAACTAGTGACTGTACGTAAGTCTATATACTTTTTTTTTTTCCAGTGCAATTAATCTTGCTTTCTACTTACTGGAGCTCATTGTTAACAAAATAGAGAACATAGAGGGAAAAAAAAGGATAAATATTTTCAGGCATTTTTCCAGTTACAAACCTCACATGTGTAACTGGTCAGAACCGCAGGTGTAGAATTTTAAGATGAAGCTTTATAAATACTTGCTGAAGCTTTTGGTAAACTGTAGGTTAATTTATCATTTAATTGTTTTTTATGGTCAACTGATTCCTCTGGTAACTCACAGCTGAAAGTGTATAGAGTAGCTCAGTCTGTTAGGATTCTACCTAAACTGTTATATGGACATTTAAATAAATCAGTATATTAAGACTTGTCATCTTCTCCTAAGAAGTACCATTGAGAGGTTTGGATATAACCCGTTCTATAAAAGCTGAATAAAGCATTTATATAATTTGTAAAAATACCAGGCTTATTTTTTGTTTTGAAAATTCTTTGTTTAAAATTTGCTTCAAAATTTTGTTTTGAAAATTATTTGAAAACAACATTAATTTTAAGCAAAATAATTTTCAATTTGTGTATGAAATTACAAGAAAATGTATTTTTACTGCTGAAATGAAATAAATATTTTTTTAAAAATAAATGTTACAGCTTTTCAAATTTTGGACATATTTATTTAACAACTTGAGTAACAGCTCAGCGGAAATTTTCAGCTTGACAGGACTTTCCTTTAGCATTGACCTGTTCAGCCCATCACTTAATTTATATTTCCTTTTTGTCTCTCAAGTTCTTTACATGTAGTGGCTGAGGAGTGTTTGGGTTGAATGTTTGCTTCTGTTAGGATGGTGCTTTAAATCATTGTCGTGGCAGCTCTGGAGTTCTGGGTTAAAGGCCTTCCTCATTTCTTCAGCGATAGAAATCATGTCAGTGCTTGAGATGGCTGTCACTTACTACAGTGTGACATATGGGCACTTCTTACAGCAGGTTTTATAAGTCACTTTCCAGAGCCATGATGGGAAATGGTTATATGAACAGTTAAGGCCTTGTTATTGAGGGACTGATAATCTTGAGTGAGAGGGAGGAGAAAAGGTAGAACTAGTCAGCTGGAGACAGGAACCACTTAAAGCCATATGCTACAGCCACAGTAGCTCAGCAGGCTGTGCTCTGAAATCAGGTCAAGAAAAGGTTCTACCTTTTGCTGTCTTTGTATGAGTAATGGGTTTTTGCTTTGCAGCCAAGTGTAGAAAACCAAGATATCTATTACTAAAACTAATTTTTCACACTAGGAAATGGTTTGATGCCTCTTTTGCAATTCAAAATACTTAATCTATAAATTGACAGTGTGTGGGTATTGTCCCAATAAAACAATGAGTAAGAGCAGTTGTTTTTTCTCTGTTATTCAGGCCTCATCAGAAGTTTGTTACACTTCCAACTTTAGCTGTTCTTTAATCACTATTTCCATGTGCTAAGGCAGCTTGCAGCAGTTGACGGGCAGACTGTGGATCAAATTTCAGAAACCATTTGCCTGAAGCATTTGTGTAAAAATGTCTGAAGTAGAAATATTTTTTGTCAGGAGGGAAAACGAGTTAAGATACCAAGGCTGAGGGAAGTAAAAAGGCTATGTGAAAGATGTGTGAGAAACAACTGTGTGCTAATGCAGGAGAAACTGAGAGTTGAAGGGACATGATTGTCATGGCAAGATTTAATGATCTCAGGAGTGACTGTAACTAGTAATGCAGCCTGGGGAGCATTCCCTGCTTGTTAGGTAGTTACTTGGTGTTGACCATGTCCTCTGGCACTGTTAGAGAATTTTTTTTTTTTTAAATCAAATGCTTGGGATATATTGTCCCTAGGAATTGATTTGACCAACTGAAATGAGTTAGAAAGTTGTACTATTACCTCCCAAAATGCTTTTCTTCAGGCTTAAAAGCTGCACAGATGGAGCTCCTTCTGCAACTGGTTGTCACGGGCAAACTAAATCCCATGGAATGAGTTGCAAAACTCAAACTGAAATACTGATGTTTCAGCTCTTTGTTTAAATGCTAATGTACTGTGCAAATACCAGGACAAAAGGAGTTAATCCTGGAAGAGCTGGAGACAACAAATATATTCAAGGAAAATTTTCCTTTTCTTATGAAGTCCTTAAGTAAACCAACATTTGTATGAAGCTTGGCTCACTCTCACTGTTGTGTCTGTCACTGTTATGTAGCACTAAGAAGTCTTAAGAGTGCAAAGGTGTGAAGGATTATATGAAATCATTTCAAGTCTATTTTGCTTGAATGTATTTTAAATTAAATGTTAGTAGTTATACAAATTACTGAGTAAAAATCAGTTAATTGTTACAAGAAGAAAACTGAAGACAGGGAAGAAACAGCAGTACTTGAATGAAGTGTTTAAGTGACCTGTTAACCTCCAGAAAAAAAATTGTTCATTTATTGAAAATTCTGTTACACCAGAAGAATAGTGCTTCCAGCATAACTCGCAAGAATGATATTTTTGTATGTATTAAGAAAACCAAACACCAGAGGATGTGAGTTGATGTCCTGGACTCTTGGGTATGGCATCATTCTGATTAGTTTTGTGTTAAGTCATGAGTTGCTACCTTTGATGCCTATTTGAACTAGGAATTTTTGTTGGAAACCTTTTGAAATCTCAGGCTTCTGTTAAAGATTAAAAAGGGAGAAAGATTAATGGTAGATACCAATTTTGAGATTATTCATATACATTTGAGATATGATAACAAAGCTATATTTTGGAGCAGATTTTTTATAAAGCAATTTGTGACAAATGCTTTAGGAGGAGAAAAGGTCTGTGTGTACTTTCAGTTCTATGTACATATGTAGGTACATGTTACAATTGTCTGTTTTTCTTTTTAGGGCTCATGTAATCAAAGGAGCTTCTTTGTTGTGTGTGTGTTTTCAGAACACAACAGGAGTTCAAAATGAATCAGGTGAGTATGAATTTAAGACTTTACCAAAGTACTTAGATGTTAGAACAGTTAATTATTAATAAGAAAAGTAAATAATCCACTAAAAAAATTATTCTTTAAAACCTTCAATGTAATTTCATAATTCTCCTTTCCACAACATATATGCTCGAGATTTATTTGGTTTAATTTTTGATTTAAGTTTTTTTGTGTGAATTCCCTTTAGCAGCATATATGTTATTACTTGCTGACACCTCCTATGAGAATACGTCTCCAGAAAAATGTTTCATTCTGAGGCTTCTGCTAATAATTCAGCTATTTATAAAGGTAGCTTGAAAAATGAAGGCTGTCTTTTTTTTTTTCTTAACCTTGTTGAGCCACTTTACCATTTTAAATGTGCACTGAACAATCTGTCACAGAAATTGATGAGGAAGTTTCACACTTTTTGGGAAGCCTGAGCATTTCCCCTAGAGTCAAGTGAAAAGACTGGGAAAGCTCATTTCTTTGTGTATATGGATGCAAGAACATCCTGACTGGAGAGGGTTGTTTTAATTAATTACAAGTATACATGATTTTATTTTGTATTTGTCTATCCAAGTAGGAATTATGCATCTATTTGTCTACCATGCACAGTTGCATTACTTAAAGATACTTTTAGAAAAAGTGCATGTTGCTTTACATTTTCTCCAAAGTATTTATCTCTTTGGATGTTCTTACTAAGTCCCTTTGGCATGGGAATGTGGACACAGGATGGCAGGAATGACATCTTTAATTTGCTAAAAAAGTCAGCTATGAACAGAAGCTTTCTTAGCCAGAAACAACCGTGGTACATATAAAAAAGTAATATAAAATGCTTTTTAAATTGATGCCTGTATCTAATGAGTGCTTTTTTTGCCCCTTATGCCCTTATTTGATCAACAACAGTAGTGAATAGTTAGCACTTGGCTGAAGTATGTTCTCACTGAACTTATAGAAGTATATACATAATATAAGTAATTACAGTGTGACATGGGTTGATGGGATGTTTCCTATTGCTTTTTCCTCTGATTTAAAGTAAGGTATCTTCAGTATATATACACATGCATATTAAAGTAAAAAAGCAAAACAATCTCTCAGAGCCTTGAGGTGTATGTACTGTAAAAAATATTTGAATTACATTGATACACAAATCATATACATAATACAAATAACATTTGCAATAGCACACTTCAAAGCATTAGGAGTCTGGTTTGGGGTAGCTAGGTTGACTATAGCTTCACAATTTATTTCTAATGATACTAATGAGAATTTTTTTCACCTGTAAGCTTTGTTCTGAATGCACTCAGTGACATTAAGTGAACAGCTCTTGTCTGCTTGAAGAATAATCCTACTCTGTTAGTCTTTCTAATAAGCTTTGGATTCTCCTAAAATTCTGAAAGCTGTAGATCCTAATTTTTAATTGTTACCATTGCCTGTTTCCTTCACATTTGTGTGTCCATGTTCCCTCATGTCCTGTCTGTCATCATGTCCCCTCCCCTTCTGGCTTGTTTCTAGAATAAAGTAATATTTTTGCTCTGTATGAAAATAAAGTCTTCATCTTTCTTATTGGGTCTGCTAATACAGCTTATGCAGTGCTGTGGTGTTTGTCATCTGACAACTTAATAATGAGATGATTCTGCCTGTGGGAATAGCTGCCCTAGCTTACAGTTCCTTCTTGGTGTTTCTGGCTTTCACATTTAGCTTCCAAAGTGTACAGAGCTGATGGCTTTTTATTGTGCAATTACCATTCATATTGAGTGTGTATTTAGCATCAACCCTGTGGTGTTTTTTCTTGCAGTGCCCTTGTCATTTCATTCACTGTTGACAAGTTGTAGTGCCAGGTCTGTATAAGAAATGTTTTTGCCTGATGCCAAACATCTTTCAAGTGTTCTGTTCTTGTCCTTCTTTCATACTGCTTATCTCTGCTTTTGGTGTGACTTCAGTGACCCTGAAACTAACTGGGCTGTTGTTAATTTGGTTTATCTATAAAGACTGCTAGTTTTGTCTTTTATTCCATAGAAATCTTGAAGTAGTGAAGGAAAACCATTTCAGAAGTACTTTGATATGGTCTTCTTGGAGTAAGGAGAAGGATTAAAAAAAAAAAAAAGCAGCTGTTGTTTTAATTAAGCTGGAATGAATATTTTTGGATGTCTCTCTATCTGGTTTAAAAAGAGATCTCCCTTTAGTCTGTAAACTACTTCTGCAGAATGTGCTGAATAATTGATTTTTAAAAAATGAAGCAAACATGGGGGTTTGGTTGGTAATAGCATTTACTGCATGTCAGATGGCATTAAGATTGGGAAGAAGGTTTCATGCTGTCTGGAAAACTGGGCAGTTTTTTTAAATAATGGTGAGGCATACATTAAGGAATTACACCTGCATTTGTACTAAAGCTTCCTCCCCTCATTCCTTCTGAATTTTTCAATTCTTACTTCACATATTTCTGATACATCTTTAATTTTCAAGCACACACAAGCTGTTGCAAAAAGGGAGTAGCCAGATGAATTCTTAGACAAGCAGAGACCTTTCTGCTTTTGACCTACCTTTCCTGTGCTAGCTGATTGTTCGGGCCAGCAATCTCCCTCAGTCCCTTCATCTCCTTTTCACAACTACCTCTTCTGCCATGTCCCTGTCTCTTCAGTGGTATCCTTTCATTTTTCATTACATTTAATCCTATTTCCACCAAAACATGACACTGAATGTCACTCATGTAATTCAGAATTTTTTTTTTTCTTTTCACTCTCATCTCTGATCATCTCTAAGCATCTCCTTGCTGCTACTATTTCATTTGCTTAAATGCTGCTTGTAACATTATAGTCTAATTTGGGGTTTGGTCCATAGGTACAATTATATTGAAAGTGGTGTGAAAAATTGCTTAATCGATGTGTAGAAATGTGCTGTCAAAGCGATTGGACTCTAAATTTGCAAATGAGGAAAGATCATTTGAGTTAAAGCAGCCTTTTAGCCCTCAGGTGGTATTTTTGCATTGTTCTTAAGTCACTTCACCCTGGCTAATCTGAATGCTTGCAATGTGTGATGCTTCTGATGAACTTCAGAGCAGGAAGCTTAAAAGTGAAATAAACTTCAAGTGCTTTTGTATTCAAAATTGCAGTCTTGGAGTGAGTAAAAAATGCCATATTAGGACTTGAGTGAAATGCAGAAGTTGGCTATAGGACTTACACCAGTACACTGTCCTTGTCAAGAGGTGAATTTTTTAAACAGAAAATTTAAATGTGATTGTTAATTGTTGATGGAAAAGTGATTGAAATGTAGCATTTCTTCATTTGTTAGACATAAATTCCTTGGGGATAAGTTGTGATCTGGAAAATACTTTAGCTACATTTAAATTGCAAATAAAATGAGATTTCACTGAGTTGACTGAACCAAATTGTTATTTATTTTACTGTATAGTATTTGGTTACTTATTACCATTCGTTTGAGGTGTGAAATGTGTTGTTATGTACTAGGCCATATCCAATTTTTATGGTACTTGTGAAATCCATTAATACCACAGGTGATGAATGAGTCTGAGTGCTGTGTTCTCTGCATGTAGCTTGCTAATCTTTGAATTATGTAGGTAGATGCAAAATATAGTTCTGATTGTATATTACTCTGTGCTAATAAACCTCTTAAATGACAGAACAGTTTTGGGATATTTACACCTAAAAGGACCTTGACAGGCTGGAGAGTTGGGCAGGGAGAAACTTGATGAAATTCAACAAGGGCAGGTGTAGAGTGTTGCATCTGGGGAAGAACAACCCCATGTACCAGTACAGGTTGGGGGCTGACCTGCTGGAGAGCAGTGCAGGGGAAAGGGACCTGGGGATCCTGGTGGACAGGAGGATGACCATGAGCCAGCATTGTGCCTTTGTAGCCAAGAAGGCCAATGGCATCCTGGGGTGGGTTAGAAAGGGGGTGGTTAGTAGGTCAAGAGAGGTTCTCCTCCCCCTCCATTCTGCCTTGGTGAGGCCACATCTGGAATGTTGTGTCTAGTTCTGGGCCCCTCAGTTCCAGAAGGACAGGGAACTGCTTGAGAGAGTCCAGGGCAGAGCCACAAAGATGATGAAGGGAGTGGAACATCTCCCTGCTGAGGAAAGGCTGAGGGAGCTGGGTCTGTTGGGCTTGAAGAAGAGGAGACTGAGGGGCGACCTCATCCATGGTCACAAATCTGTTCAGGGCAGTGTCAGGAGGACAGAGCCAGGCTTTGTGCAGTGATGTCCAGTGATAGGACAAGGGGCAGTGGGTGCAAACTGGAGCATAGGAGGTTCCGCGTAAACATCAGAAAAAACTTTCCTGTGAAGGTGACAGAGCCCTGGGACAGGCTGCCGAGAGAGGTTGTGGAGACAACCACGTGTCTCCTTCTCTGGAGACATTCAGACCCACCTGGTCATGTTCCTGTGTGATGTGCTCTGGGGATTCTGCTTTGGCAGGGGGGTTGGACTAGATGATCTTTTGAGGTCCCTTCCTACCCCTAAGATTCTGTGATTCTGTGAGTTTGAGGAATATGCCAGACATCAGTGGATGTGCCATGGTGCTGTACACTTCTGGCTGAATCAGTTGAGGTGGATTTTTATAAGTTTTATTTAAAATTTGTTTGCAGGCTTCAAATGTTTAACTGCTCATCTAGCTGTGGTTGTAAAAAAACCAATAAACCAATCAAAAAAACCCCAACACAAAACCCACTCCCCCCTCCCAAAGGAAACCAAAACGCTCAAATGAAACCCAACCAAAAAAAACCCACCCCACTTTTGTTAGCTTGAATTTTGAAGTGCATCATTGTGCCAGCTGTCTTGGTCACTCTCTAGTGCCCCTCATTTATGTCTATGCGTAATTTTTTAGAAACCACTATGAAGAATAGGCTTGATTCTCCCCTAATGAAATCATGGGAGAATGTAATGGAATTATATTTAGATTTCTTTGATGAATATGTGGAGAAGAGGGTGTTTCTTTTGTATCAGTTCAAGGCTAACAGATGTCTGAAAATCAGGCTTCCTTCATCACTAGTTTTCCTTTTGGATTGTTGAAAGAGCAAAATAAAACTTTGTTCTGCTTTGAACAGACTAGAGCTATTATAACTAAAGAGTAAGGATTATTTTTTTTTCCCCCCTCCCTGGTTTCTTCACTCTCTGATGGGATTTCTGGCATTCTGTTCCTTCCATGGTTTCCAATCTGGGGGTCTTTGTCCCCTGCAAATAGCTCTCTAGGATGTGTCTGTGCAGCTGTTAGGGCTTACCAGGGCAGCAGTAGAATAACCTTGCTATGACTCCAGATTTATACTTTTTCTCCTTGTTGCTGATCAAGTGGGCAGAAGTTCTTGTAACTCAGCTCAGCAAGTCACATTCATGAATGTAAAGAGTTGCCATATTTAGCACCCTCACAAAGAGTGGGAGCTAAATAGAAAAGATTAGGAAGCTTTATCTGTTTTCCTTTAGAGATAAACCCCTTTAATTTGATAGCATATAGGGATGTATTTTACAATAAATTTCCAGTAAACTTTCAGCATATTTCAGAAGTGCTTCATGGAAAAAGCTTTGAATATTACTCAAACTATGGAAACTGCTTTATGGTTATGTGTAAAAGCAAGAATCCCTGCCAGAAAGGGTTTACTTGGACAACTGTAGTGTTGCCCAAGTTGTTATCTCTCAGTTGAGCACCTTCTAAGGCTTGTTCAGAACTTAAGTAGAATATCTGTCATGTTAGAGTAGTTATTGCCACTATCACCAGTTTCTGACCCAGAATGGTCAGTGCTGTTAGGGGGCAGGTACTTTTTTTCAGGGCTGTTGCACATGGTTGAACAAATGCCTGATTCTCACCAAGCACAATTCTTTCATAACATAGACAGATTTCCTGGGAAACTGCAAGTTCGTAACTGATATTCTGCTCATTTTTATTAGGAATTGTGTTTTCTTGATTATAAATAAGTAGTAAAGAGCTAGTTGTTTATTGACAAGTATCAGTAGCATTTACTGGTGTTATACAATTAAGAGTATGAATAATATTATAAGCAGCCTGTTGAAGTTTGTAGGCTCCTTAAAATGGAACTTATAACCAAGCAGACATTCATAAATCATTTATTAGCTTTCTGTTGCTTTTCAAACTTCATAGTGTAGCACCTTAAGACCTTTTATATTATATCCTGCTGGCTGAGGATTCTAAAATTTGACATGCAGGTACTTTGGAGTGAAAGGACATTGGAGTAGTTAGCTTGCTGCAACAACCTCAGTTCAATAGGGAAAACAAAAGTAACTTCATTTTTGTGAACTGTATGCATGAATATGGTTTTCTCCTTAAGATTCTGTTTAGTCTTTCTCACCAGTGATATGTTTTCATGTAAGGCAATAGCACAAACTATTTTAGATTGGTTTTGGGGGACTGATTAAACTGTATATGCCTGGAAGTCATCATTTCAAAAGGGAAAATAAAGAATTGCTAATATATGTGAAATTACCCTCTGTGTGGTGGGTAGTTGATATTCTGGCTTTGTGATATATTTCCAAAGTCATCACTTGTGTGTTTCTAGGCAAGTTATTCCTGTTACTGGAGCTTTACATCAGTCTGTATGCATAGAGGCACACACAGCTGGTTCATCTGGAACATTTATGTGCAGGTTTAGGAAATGATTGACAAAATTGCAGTGGAAGGCTGCAGGAGCAGGGCTGGACCCTCAGAGTGTAAGTGCTCTGGAGCTGGAATTGCCCTTTGCTTTGAAACTTTGGGATGTCCTTATAATCTAAGCTGACATACCAGTTAGCTCTCATTACAAGCACAAATTGCACAGAACTAGGGTAGACTCTGGGAAGTTGCAGGATATCTCAGCTTGCACTTAAAAGAATTGAAGGATTCTTAAAAAATTATATATAGAAAATGGAAAATGTTTATAATTGGGTGTCAAGTACAAATGAATATTTTTAGTACTTACCAACTTTTAGCATTTAATGTCCTACTTCTCTATTACTAGATGAGCCTTTAATAATTAAATAGTATTTTTCCTTGCTGTTGGTCACCAATACTCTTTATAGAGAGGTATTTGTTAAGTCAAACACAAAATGAAGCAGATGGTTGATAAACAAGTGTTTTTCCAGCCAACCTTTTCATTAATGCTGTCAGTTATGATAAAGACAAGCTACAAGTCACACTTCTGCAGCTGTTCCAATCAAGCCTGTATGATTTTACTGACCTTTATTGAAATGTACTTGCTGAGGGTCATAATGGAGAAATTGCTTTGTTGCCTCAAGTAGATTTATTTCATAGAATCATGGAAGGGTTTGGGTTGGAAGGGACCTTTAAGATCATTGAGATCCACCCCCCCTGCATGGGCAGGGGCACCTCCCACCAGACCAAGTTGCTCCAAGCCCCATCCAACCTGCCCTTGGACACTTCCAGGGATGGGGCTTCCACATTTGTTCAGCGTTTAGAAACAGACTTTGTAGAAGATGAGTGTTTAGGTGTTAAGAGAAGGTAATGGAACACAGTTGCTGATGCTTTAGTTCAGAACCAATTTGCATTATACCTCAATTTTAGGGGCTTTTCCTGTTTTATTCTCTGTAGGAAAGCTGGGATTTAAAAAAACCCTGTCAATAGAATTGATAGGTTATAAAATAAAAGGCCTGCTATTTTTCCTGTGTTCTGGCTATTCTGCTGCATATTGGTTGAATCAGTGTACTTGAGCATGGCAATTCACTTGTCTCTTGTTACTTTAATTGCCAGTAACATGTTTCAACAGTATAATTTGGATAAATGGTATGCATGTTCTGAAACAACTTCTTTAATCTTCTGACTATTTGGTATTCAAAAAATACACTGCTAACAGTGATTTATGCTAAAAGCATCATGTGTTGCTCTTTAATAGTTTTTTCAGGAGCAGACAGACACATTTTCTAGCAGAAGAGATCTTATTTAAAATCTGCTATACAGCTGCAACCTAAAATAACAAACTTTTTGTGGCTTATGAAGTACAATAGAGTAGTGCTGCCAGGTAAGTCACATTCAGCCAAGAATAAGTAAATACCTTCAGCTCTGTTCTCTGAGGAATTCCAGGGTGAGTTTTGAATTTGTTTTTAAGGAGAGACCAGGGCAATGGAATGAAATGGCAAATGGCCTAAGAGATACATGAAAACTCTTTCACTTAGCTTTCCTCACTGTTTACTGCTTGTAATCAAAATGCATCCAGTAACTAAAGCAAAAGAGTAATTACAGCAACTTGAGTTATCATTGGTTTATCTCTAATGTGGTCTTAGAAATCAGCATTAAAGCATAAACAAATATAATGAAAATAATAGTGAGAATGTGAATTCTGGGAAAAAGATCCTGCTGCATTAGCATGTTGATGGAGGGGCCCTGATTGAAATAGCAATTTGGAAATTTATATTTTAATTTCAAGTCAGGAGTTTTAGTAGTTTGTATGGTTTGATCATCTGTTGTGCTGTTATTTTGATCCATTAATGCTTGTGACCCCTTTGGCTTGTAGAACACAACTGAACCTACTGTGGCTGTGGAGACCTTAGATGATGTACCTGAGCATGTGCTTAGGGGGCTTCCTGAGGATGTGAGGCTCTTCCCATCTGCTGTTGACAAGACACGGCTTGGTGAGTGTCACAACTGTGGAAAGAGATTTTTACACCAGCTCATAGAAATTACAGTTGCTGTCACAGTTTGGTGCCCTCCTGTGCTGGGTAGAGATGATACCTGGTGCACTTATCTGGAATAATTTATGTTGGAAAGAGTGTACAGCTTCTAAGTTTCTCCAACTTCCCAAGATTATGTTCCAAGAACATCAGAATCGGAGTCAAAGGTGGACCAAGATGCAAATAAATTAGGTTATAAAAATACTGACATGTTACTTTAGTGGATTGTGTTCATTTTTAGCTCTTTCCCAGTTCTTTGTGTTGCAATTACCTTATTGTTGCCTCTTCAGAATGCTGCATCTCCCTATCCAAGCAACATAAAATTTTCCTTTATAAGAACAAATTCAGTGCATACTTGAAGGCTGCTGTATGGAGCAAACTGTTGTTTCTTTTATTTGTACAAAATACTTGGCTTTGTTAAAAAAAGTTTAACATGGGAGAACTTTGGAAGTCAGGATTGCAGCCTGGATACTTGCTGTTAAAAGCTGGCACTCTGAGGAATTAGCCTGACAATAGATGCATTGCTATTAGTAACAGGTTATAAACTCCTTGCAACGAGGTTAATCTTTTCTAGTATGAACCTGATCTAGCATGGTCTGAATTAGAATGTTATGTTTAATTAGCAATTATTTGTCAATCTGTTCTTAGCATTTGTGCTATGAAATGTGAAATTCAGCTGCTGGTTTTCAATTCAGCTAAATCTTGTCAATACATTTGTGGACAGCTGCACATTTTAAACAATAGTAAATGTGTTTTCCTTCAAAATAACCTAATAATCAGTTTCCCAACTTTTGTGAGGGCTTCATTTGCCTGGCATTGCTCCCCAGTCTGAGACAGTCACATATAAAGATCTTAAGAAATATGAAATGTGAGTAGAAGATTTGCTTGAGGTAAGTTCAGTTGTAACTGCTGATCTGTGTCTCTTCAGGTGTCTGGGCAACAAAATCAATTTTAAAAGGCAAGAAGTTTGGACCATTTGTTGGTGACAAGAAAAAAAGATCTCAAGTTAAAAGCAATGTATACATGTGGGAGGTAAGAAACAGGTTGTAAGTGGGAAAAGGTGCCTTGTGGAAAATTTCCCTAGCCTTGAATTTTCCCAGAGATTTTAGAAATAGACATGGTGTGAAATAATTGCCTGCTATGTATGCCTGCAATTATAAACCCTTGTTTATAGACACTTGGATTGAGCAGCCATGCTGAATTACAAAGCTTTAAACTATTAGCATTGTTTGAAATTACTGTATTAATTTTCTTATCTGGCTCACAGCTCCTGTTCAGAATCTGTTCCTGGTAAAGCTTTGTTGGCTTGCACCCTGAGTGATATCCCTCCAGCAACTGAGTACCATCAACTGCTTATGAAATTGGGGAAACTAGGGGGATATGGAATCTCTTAAGGAAGCCACAGCAGTCTTCCTCATCTAGCTCTTTGAAAACCAGCTTTGTTAGGGAATTGGCTTTGCTTTTGGACTTTTAAAGTTCTCAACTGTTAGATTATTCCCTGTGCTGCTTGTGTTTGGCCTTGCCTTAAAGGGAAAACTGTCTGGACAGCTGAATAGCTCTTTAGGCTCCACTGATAGTCATAAGACCTTGGATATTATGTAGATTTCAAAATATGGTGTCTTAATCTGGAGTTGAAACCTATCTACAGTGTCCAGAGACAGCTTAGGCATTTCTGAAGACACACACAGCAAGTGGCTTTAGCAGAGTGAATGGTCATGGAGTGCAGGGATGGAGGAACTGTGGCATAGCATGTTCTGGAACAGAACTTGTTAGTTTACAGATTTTTAGGCTTGAGGTAGTAGTAGTAGTGATCCTTGTGGCCCCTGGCCTGCAAAATTGACCTGCATAAACCGCTGGATACACACACAAAACTTAACATTAACCCCTGTCAGAGGAATAGGTCTGGTACAATCTTCCATAAATGGAAATTCACATTCAGGAAAGTACTGAAGTGTTCAAGTGCTTGTTGCTTTGAGCTAATCTTATCACAAACTCCACTGCATCTGGTATTTCCAATTTTTATTTGGTACAAGAACACTTACAGAGATTGAATCTGTCAAGTAAGTTACTGACTTTGCAATTGTTTCTCATGGTGCTGGATTTAGAGGTTTCTCAGAGAATGTCTTAATATTTTTTTACATCTGTGTTGAGAAATGATAGTTGCAAACAAGCTGTTATAAAGTAGTTTGCAATGAAGATGATGATGGAAACCATTGCTAGATTTCAAAAGAATTGTGTGTTGCCTTTAATACTGATTTTGGAGTTTAAAAAAAAGGCAGCTAAAATGAGACTGCAGCAGTTGGCCCCATATGCTGATATCTGAAACCACACCAGAATCGGGACTGTTAGAAAATGTGGTTTGTAAAAGGGTGGTGGTGTCTGGGAGTAGTTAGGTATATGGACCTTCAGCTAAGAGAACAACCTTTTCCAGAAGAATCCCATTTGTTTTTTTAGGGAAGTTAATGTGAAGGAAAAGGTAAGTCTTCTAAAAGCTGGCATCTCCAGTCAGTTTTAATAATTTTGAACTCTCAGGCTAGGATATAATTCTGAGTAAGGTGAGTTTTGTGTGTCAGTGAGTGGCTGCTGTGTCTGAGGAGGGAGATACAGACTCAAAAATGTTCTGTGGGAAATGACTGAAAACTGAGGGAAATGCTTTCTGCACATTCAGAAGGACTGGCACCACTGTGTTGAGAGATAATTGATCCTGCTTACAGGAATCATTTAAAGCCACAATCTTGCATAGAGGAGTTGAAGCTTTTCCCTTTCTCACAGTGCACAAGGCCTCAAACCAAAATACTGTCAGTTAGGACCTTTAGTTGAAAAATTAAGTGTTTTGTCTTACGTGAAACCCGAAATAAAGTTACATCAAACCATAATAAAGTAATATATTAAAAAAAAATAATAAAGTATTATCTTTTGCCATATATTCCATATCAGCTAACTGTTTTGCAGCTTTGTTTGGCTCTGTTCTTGCGTGTTAACCAAAAGGCTTGCTAGTACAGTCTTGATCTGTGAAGCTGTTTATGTTTTCATATTGCAAGGGCTGGGTGTGCTTGATGAACATTCCTTCAAAAGTCAGCTGATGAAATCTGTGCTGGAGTAGTCTAAGTAAGGGAGATGTTTTCTTTTTGGGAAGAAACCAAGATGATTTTGGTATATTTATTGAAACTTTATGGAATAAATTTTATCAAATTGGCAGTATACTAACACAGAAGAAATCAGCTCATGTAAACGCTTCTTAAGTTGTTGTAGAAGTGTACTTGAAGTTGAAAACGTAAAACAGTTAGAGAAGACTTAGTCTTACTTGTAAAATAAGTATCAGAAACAATAAAAAGCGACTGTTGTGTAACAGAATGGGAAAGTTACAGTGAGGTTGGAATTTTAGTTTATTCCTTCTCTGCAGCAGTGCTGTGTGAATGTTGCAGGAGGTGATGAGCTAAGGAAGCTGGCTTTTGAAAAGAGCTCTTGCAGGCAGAGACTGGTATTTAGAGACTTGACCAAAAGGCAGAAAAGCAAATAATAAGACACATTTTTCCTTCTTTTGTTTTTCTAAAAAGCTGTGAGCTGTGCAGTACTTGTGAGACATTGTGTTCCTGTCAGTAGGCCTGTGTTCTGAGACACAGAAACAGAAGAGTGGCAGCTCTACTTGCCCAGCAGTGGGGTGTTCTTTGGAAAAAAAATATCCAGCAGCCACTAATAACTCTACTTATAGGCATCCTGCTATTGGATTATAATAATACAAGTGGGAAATTTGTAACGTAACTTAAAAAAGAAGCAGAGTTGCCTGTCATCAGCAAATCCTGAAGGTGTCAGGAACCTTGCTGTAGTGCAGCTGGCTTGAAATATAAAGCAGGAGTATGTGGTCAACATTTTTCTCCACGAGTGGAACCCAAAGAATTTACCCAGAGACTTGGAACATTCAGAAGTTTATTGACATGTTCAGTTTTTTAAGGTGATCACAACTTCTGAAAGGTGAAGATTTCCTTTAATACTCAGAAAAATGATGAAATATAAATTGTTTCCCCCTTCTAAATAAGGCAAGTGCTTCTAAATTCTATGTAGTTGCTTTTCCCAATTAATCAGATCATAAATATAAAGCTCTATTGCCTTTGTATCTTAAAAACAGTCATTTTATTAAATGCAAAGTCTAGAGAATAATTTCAGGCTTGCCAGTTGTACCAGTTTACCTAAAAAGATGCAGAAGGCCAGCAACATTCCCCCCAGTACAACCCCTGCTTCTGCTTTTATCCCTTGTGTTATCTCTGCCCTTAGATGATTACTACTACTTTGCTCAGGGTTATTGTTTGGTGCATGTACACTTCAGTGTCACTAGTTGTCCTTGTGCTTAATGCCATTTGTGTCTCACAGGTGTATTACCCAAACCTGGGATGGATGTGTGTGGATGCAACTGATCCAAAGAAAGGGAATTGGCTCCGATATATAAACTGGGCACGTTCAGGGAAGGAGCAAAATCTGTTTCCTCTGGAGATCAACAGGACCATATACTACAAAAGTTTAAAGGTATCAGTGTGTGTAGAATCAGTGACTGCTCTGCTACCTTTTGTTATTAATACTCTATTCCCCTTTATTTAAATCCTTTTTTTAAATACTTGTATTAAATGCACTTTGAAACATTTAATGAAACGTAATTAAAATGCTGCAAATGCTCCAGTTCCTTGGTCTAAACCATCCTGTGCCAATACAGCTGACATTAAGATCTACTGTTAAAATATAGGATATGTATGAACATTAAGTCTATCTGGTTGGTTAATGATTTGCTGTAGCACCAAATTTTATACAAACCAGAATGAAAAATTAGAGCAGATTACATAAAACAAATGTTGTCCTGTTTTTGTAGGTACTGAGACATTTTTACTGAGAATTTTTTGCAGAAAGTGGTTATTTTTAGGGTCTTCGCGTTGTACAACAAAGACTGGTTGAAAAGACACTTTGTAAGTAGCTTTATGAAACAAGTTTTCCTTGGTTTTATACCATTCCAGATTTATTCAGGGAGTAGGGTGGCAGGAGAGGGTGTAATTGCTGGGACATTGTGCCTCCCAAAGCAAGATAAAAATGGTTTAACTTCAGTGTTAGAGTATGCTAGTGTTTGAATATTGTGGCTAAAAAGCATTATTTGAATCTCTGATCAAGAACCTACTGGCAGAGAGTATATATAGCTCAGCTTTGTTTTTATTTAAAATACTTCTGTGGTTTTTGGGGTATATGCAGTTGCTCTTTAGGCTGTTGCTGTATCTTACATTTCCTTGTAAGGTCAACAACTATATCTGTAAGTCACCAACCTTCACTTAATAAAAGAATGAGTTGATATCAAGCAGTTTTGAGGTTTATAGGGCAGTATAACAATATGGAAAAGTGTTGTATTTTAGGTCACTCAAGCTAGATTAAAAAAAAGACAAAACAAAAAACCCAAAAACCCAAACCACCCAACTTCTAAAATATTTTCTGAGCTTTCTAATAGCTTTGAGATAGCATTGAGGTAGAGGTTGGTATTGCCAGCCAGACTATGTCTTCTCTTCAGTGTTTCTTCACTGAGAGCAGGCTCCTGCTGAGAATCTGTAGCCAGCTGAATTTTCTCTAGATGTTTTATTTTGGGTTGCCTCTGCCTTTGCCCTTAGTCACACTAGTTCATTGACATAAATGTGCTTTTTGAGTAATTTTCAGTTTCTGAAAAGGATTTAGTCCTGACAGTGAGATACATGCACATATTTCAAATTTGTTTTCTGGTGGATAGTATTGCAGTTTGGAAAAGAATTTAGTGCTAAAAGAGGCTGAAGACTGCTGACAGAATAACAAATACCTTGCTTCAGCATCTGGAACATCCTGTTGTTCCTGTGACTGTCCTCTCTTGTGACCTGATGAATTTTATTCCAGCAGGTCTTGCCAAAAAGATCATGCTGCCAAGCAGCTCTTTCTGAAGACTGTTAGAGCAGCCTATAAGGATCAGTATCATCGGTTTCAAAATCTGTCAGGGATTTCTTGCAGTGTGAAATTTGGAGTTTGGGCTGACGAGGGTTTCTTCCAAGTACCAAGTACTTGTACCAAGTTCCAAGTACCAAGGTACCTTCAACAGAGTTTGCCTCTGCAGCAGCCACTTAGATGTGTGTGTGCTGTGGGGCTGTTCATTGGCTCCGGTTGGGTGTTTGTGACTCCAGTCCCAGGCAAGTTTCTGGTAATTCATGTTGGTGTCTGTGCTCTGTGCTGGTTGGACCGAGTGTTACCTCAGGAATGGCCTCACCTCCAGGCTGCCTCTGCACCGAGGCCTCTTGGAGGCCTGTGTAGAAGCAGCAGCTCAGAGTAGTTCTGGGCTAGGGTGTCACATAGAGCTGGTGCAGAACCACCGACTTGTTTCTGCCCTCTAGATCTAGTTCCAGGAAGGCAGAGCAGACATGCTCCAACTCGTTCTGCAGCAGCCAGCTTGGGGTGGCTTGTGTTTAGTAATCGCAGCTTCATGCTGCTCAGATGGAAGCAGTTTCCAGCACCAAGTTAGGCCCAGAAGCTCTGCAACCTGGGCAAAGTGGTGCCACCCTGGCCTGTCCCTTGTTTGTCGCTACATCTGTCACACGGCCACGTTGGCAGGTAATTTCAGCTGTAGAAATTGGCTGAGTTGCTTCACTATGCAAAGCTAAGTTATTGTGTAGAATTTAATTTTGCTCCATATTTGGGGAAAAAGGCTCCCAAATCTGTAATAATGTCTGTCAATAGTGCCTACTGATATTCCAGCTATTTCAATCTATTTTATTCTGTTCTCCCACCTGGCAGAGAAGTAATATGTAAGGAAAATTCTCATCTTGCTAATCTGTGATGATTTCTGAAGTGAAAGCTTGATGTGAAATTGAACAGTTTTCACTACCACTCAGCATTCAGTCAACATACTGATAAATCAGGTCAAGATTTACAAAGTCACGTGTAATAATAACATCTTAAATGTCCTTTTCTTTCTGCGTATCATCTGTTATGGTGTCTACATTGCCATTTCAAAACTCTTGTTAACTTTACTAGCCAGGTAGGTCCACATAGTTTCTCCCTGATCTTTATATGACAAATTTAATTACAAATTCCATTGGGGCTAAACAACACAGGTTTTAGTTACCCCAAAAAGAAAATTAGTGGCTTGTATGTCCTTCTGTTCTGCTTTACCTTGAAGCCTTTAAAATGTTGTCATAGCTGTTTATTTTTTTTTCCCAAGGTTATCTTCAGCTTTTTGTGGGTTTCTAATTTGTAAGTTCAACAGACTGATTTCCAAGCTTCATTACCAAGATAAGCAAAGCCCAAATTTGCCTGGTGTAAATGAATCTCAAAACTGCACAGAGCTTTAACTTCCCTGTTCTTGGCTGTAAATGAATAGTAATGGGATAGAATTTTTAAGTGAGCACAGACAGGTATTTTTTTCTTCTATCTTCATCAAGGATGAGGATATTTGTGGCTGCTTTGCATATGCTTTCCCCATGAGAGTTGTGATATTTCATGGAAACAGCTTTAAACTCATTATGGGGTTTCAGAAATTCTTCATGCCTCTCTTGATGAAAGGAGCTCATTGGATTGTGGTCTGCACATAGCACAGGACCCTGTAATTCTTGAAGTAAAATTGCAGTGAAAACTCAGTTTCAAAAAGTCTTTTAAGTAAGCTCAGGTGTGAAACTGGCCTTGATTTGGGTGAAATTCATATGGTTGTGGAAGAATGTTTTGTCAAACAGGTTTAAGGTAACTCAGGACTCTCCTTGTTCTGTAGGAACACAGGGTTCTGTGTTAACACAGGATAGGCAGTGTGACACAAGTACTAATGCCACACAGTGTCCACTGTGGTTACATCTGGGGAGATAAAGGCCTCATCTAGTTGCAAAAGCACAGTGTCACAGGAACATGCAGTGTCTGTGGTGAAAAATAAGTGCTCTGATGAGGTCAGACAAGGAAATGCCCATCTCAGGGTGCACAAGGCAGATTGCAGTGCTTGTGCGTGTGCAATGGAATTTAAGCCAAAAGAACCTCTTAGGGTATAAATAGGTAAGGATATTCCTCTTGAAAATAACAAATCTTGAAATGTCTTTACGTGTTTTGAACAGAAAATACTCAGATGGAGGATTGCTAAATGTTGCAGTTAGAACATAAAGCACCAAAAAGCATGTGGGAGTTAGTAACTTAATGAACCTTTCCAAAATTCACCCCTTTTTTAACCAAGCTACCACAACCTGACACTGCTATACAGACAATCTGTAAATAATTGTTTGGAGGAGGTTGGTTTTGAGAATTGTTACTAGAAGGTGTCATCACCAATGTCATCACAGATGTCCGTGTTCTCCAGTGTTAGAGTAGTGGTGGAAGTGGCACTTGGTCAGTGTGATCCATTTCTTACAGCTGTTCTAATTGTCTGATTTTTGAAGCTCATTTGAGAAGTACAAGGTTAGAGGCTTAATTTAGACTCCAGAGAAGTGACACCAAAACTCAATTCATCCTGCAGCTCACAAACCCTGAGCTCCTTATCATCCTGTGCTTGCCTTGCCTGAAACTTCTGCCAGCTCTTTTCTCTGACTCTGTATGTTTTTTGGATGATGAAGTTGTTTGCATCAGACATCTCTTCTCCATTCCTTGCTGCTGAACAGCTGCAAAATGGGACCATGCAAAGAGGTTTATCACTATTTATCCTGTCAGGCCTCCAGAGCTGTTAAGGCAGCCAAACCGTAGGCTTTGCTTATATTATAACTTAAACACTTAACATAGTTGTTGGGATCTTGCATCTCTTGTTGTTCCAGTGTCTGGGGGTATAAAGATAACTATCACCTTTATCAAGTGCTGTGAGACTTTTCTAGAAAAAGTGCTTTAGAAAATAACAAATATTACTATTGTTCTTGATAGAAAAATTCCCTTTGGCTTCAGACTTGGAAATAATAGTGTAAGGATCCCCTTTGGTCTAATGTGTTAATGACTCTAAAAATAGTGTCTTACCTCCACAAGCCTGATGTTCCTTAAGCCCTGGAAAAAGGGGGATTGTAGTTGAGGTAAAGGAAAGCATTTAAGGTGATTTTTTTTCTTGGGTTGTGATGGAATGCTTCAGGAAACAGAGCTGCGGCTGCTGCTGATTTAAAAAAAACTAGGCACAAATTCATGTTCAGCAAACTCGGGGACTTCCTAGTTTGAGGCTGATAATGTTTTAAGGAGCATGAGGGAATAATGAGAGAAACTGGTATTGATCAGTTTGGTGACAGTGCTGGGAATAAGAGCAGTGACTGCACTGATGCCTACTCAGCTAATTTGTTCTTTTCTGTGCATTTTTCAATGGGATTAAAAAAAATAGAGTAAATTTGGAATGGCAAACAAATCCTTCATTATTGTGGTTAAGTGGACTCGTTAAACACGTAGTAATTATCTCTTCCTGTGCATTTCCTTTAACTCACTGCCACAGTCTTTTCCTGTATCCTTGGATTTTGTTCTGAGTTCCCACTTTTTGCGGTTGAACACTTTGTGTAGAGGCTGTTTGGCTGCAGGGAGGAGCAAAGCTGTGAACAGTGACCAGCACTGGGGGGGGTTCCCTGGGGCTGAGCTCCATGTCATGACTTGAGACAAAATTGGGAATTTGGGGGACTTGGAGCTTGAAGTTTCCATGATGTAATTAATTAATGGCATCATTAATTAATAATGCTGGTGGAGAAGGCTGGTTTCTTGGTGGCGAGGTGGCATCCTTGAAGCGAGGCTATGGGGGAGCTATAGGGGGGCTACAAAGGGGTTATAGGGGGGCTATAG